AAACTGTACCTTCAAAATAGGATTCGTCTTCAAAAGCAAAACCTTCAAGTTCCATAAAAAATTTATTAGCGACTTGTACAATAGACAGTATCAAAGTGTCAGTATGTTTTTGCATTGTTCTTACAATTTTGGCAATATTTCTTTTTACATTTTCAAACTGTTCAGTGCTGGTCGAATCACTTCCATCAATCACAAAAGTTAAGGAGATCTGTAAAAAATTACTGTTTAATTGAAATACGATGCTTTAATAAAAGTTGACACAGATTTATAGACTAAAATAGTACAATTTTTTTTTTCGAATGCAATGTCTCTGTTTTGAACAGTAACGTTTCAAGATTATAAGACAAAATCCTATTTCTAATTTTCGTATGTCTCATTAAAGTTATAAGAAAAAGTACAAAAAAAGAAAACGAAACTAATTTTAATCAGGTCTGCAAAAAGTATAAAGTTGAAAACAGAATTATTGCTATTTGAAGTGATATACTATTATAGAAGAAGAAAAACTTTAACCTTTGCTAACTCTTCGATTACTATTATATGCTTAACCAGCAAAAGTTATTTAGTCTTAAATAACATTATTTGAAACGCTTTTTGTTCATCAACCAACTTATCATTACCGTTTTCAGTTACTCACTACAGTTTTTTTCACATTTAAGAATTATTTGGTTGAACTGAATAGAAAATTGTCGGTTTTTTATAGAACAAAAAATTTCATCTATAACAATTTTTACTATCTTCTTTTTTATTACATTATTCCGAAAAAAAATTATGGTCATTTATTTTGCTTGCTTCGTTTCTTTTACTCACTGATAAATTATTCTAAAATGATAAAAACAAAAAAAAAAAAAGAAAAAAAAACAAAAACTGTTTTTGAAGGCATCTAATCAAATTTGTTTGCAGTAGTTAATTTTCACTGTTAACAAAAAACAATCTCAAGGGAGACGACAGCAAATACTGTGAACAATTAGCAGCTATATATGTGTAGTAGTGATTTTACTTTTTTTTTTTTTATAAAGAATTCAATCATCTGAAACAAATTGAAGTAGATCGTTAGTAGAAGAAAAAAAAATTCTTATTTTTTTGTTGATAACATCGTAAACAGTAGATCAAATAAAAACGGTTATAAGCTGTTAATGATGTTGGGTGAAAATTTTGCAACAGATGATATATACCAGATCATTTACTTATACAGCAGCACTAATTAACCGATACCCAAGAGACCCCAAAAAATGTTGTTATTTTATTTCCTTAATGCTGTTTACAGGACAAAAACAAAAAAAAAAAAAAAACAAACTGGTTTTTTGTTTTGCAAATACTGTGATAAACTGATATATGAGAAAAAAAAATGACTGATATAAAATAACCACTAATCTATCACATAATTATTAACCCTTTCCAAAAAAAAAAGCTACAAAAAAACTGAATAGATTTTTTTTTTTTGTCTGTTTAAAACTTCTTAAGTGAAAGGGAAAATCTTAACAAAATAGCATAAGTTAAGCTTAAAAATACCAGAAAAAACTGTTTAATTGTGTAACCAGATGCCTCCTGGTAAAATAGAATAATTTTTTAAAGAAAACACTATTTACATCTTCTGTTGTCGTCAATATCACATCTCATTAAGTAAATGATTAATCCTACTGAATTTTAAATAAATCCTAGCAGCTCAACTTTTTAACACACAGTGCTTCTAACTGAAAAAAGAAACTGAGTGAAGTGTTAAATAAATTTATACAATTTTAAAGCTTTTGTGGTAATCTTAAAATGGCTTTTTTTCTTCTTTTTTTTTTCGTTTTTTTTTTTTTGCGATACAATAAGTTTCTTCCTTTTTATCTTTTCAAAATAAAAACTGACAAAAAAAAGTGGAAAGAAATATTGAGTTAAATACGGATATTATACTATTGCTTTCAATCTTGGTTATCTCCAAGTTGACGAGGGTAATAATTTGAGGGATTAAAGATTCAAACCAATAGACTATCTAAAGCAAAATTTTAGAACAGTTGATAGACAGACAGTTTACAGAATCTGATAGGATTTCATGAAATTATCAACTGCATAAATATAAGACAAGAATTGGTATAAGCAGTTAAACTGAAAAAAATTTTTGATGCTTACTACTTCAGCACATTCTGGAATTTTAGCTGCATCATTACAACTGTTTTCAGAATAATCTGTTTCTGAATCCAGCACAAATAAATCGTTGTGATCCCTCTTAGTTTCACTTGTCAAAATGCACTCTTGACGTTCTCTGTATAAAGAACAGCTTTTATACAGTATTTATTCTGATACAAATAAAGTTTTTTAAATGTTTGAAAAGTTCGAAAAAAGTTTTCAACAAAATTAGTAACCTGTAATATGTAACTGAATTACACGGGTCACCATCTAAGCAGTCGTTGCAACTGTAACACGCATATAAACATTGCCGATGATTAAGATCGTTTTTAACTTCATCGGCAAATCCAACTAAGGATCTGTTCTGATATGTTCTAAAACATTCCTGTTCCTTTTCACCAATCTCTTTAGCCTTTTCGTTAACATCAGGTTCTTCACCAGACGACTCTTCTTCATCTAAAATCAAATAATAAAAAAAAAATTTTTTTTTTTGCATTTTTTGTCAAAACTTAAACACATATTATTTGCCAAATGCAACAAACCTTTTTTTTGACTATCCAAACAAATATTTTCATAATAATCAACCTTATCACCAGATTCTTTTGTGGAAAATAAAAATTCACCATTTTCTTTGCTGTTACCGTTGTTCAATACGCATTCTTTAGAATCTCTAAAATACAGTATTCTAACTTTTTGCTTCGCATAAAAATCAAAAAAAAAAAAAAAGTTTAAAAAAAAAATTGAGCAACCTGTACCACATTGCAGATTTACATATAAAATCAAAACTTTTTTTCGATTTTGTACACGCTTCCAAACATTTTTCAGGCGTTGCAGTTTTTCCAGGTGATGCCTTAAAAATTACCGATAATAATAATAAATTTTTTTTTTTATAGTTTTCAGCAAACAACAACTTTTTGATATTGTAAAAATGTTAAAGAAACATTATTTAAAGTTTAAGTAAAAGAAATTAAAAAACAGTCGTAATTTTTTTTTTTTTT